CTACTTGGTATGTAATTCTTTTAATATGTTGCTGCATTCAGTTTTGTTAGTATTTTATTGAGGAGATTTTCATCTATATTCACAAGTGATTTTGGTGTGTAGTTTTCTTTTCTTGTGATGTCTTTGTCTGGCTTTGGCATCAGAGTAATGCCTGAAATGAGTGAAGAAGTGTTCCTTCTTCTATTTTTTTTGAAAGTGTTCCCGAAGGATTCATGTTAATTCTTTAAATGTTTGGTAGAATTCACCAGTGAAGCCATCTCCTTCAAGTCCTGGGCTTGTCTTTTTTGGGAGGTTTTTGATTGCTGACTTAATCACTTTACTTGTTTGGGTCTATTCAGATTTCTTATCTTTCTTGAGTCAGTTTTGGTAGTTTGTGTATTTTTTAGGAATTTGTCCATTTCATCTATGGTTGCCTAATTTGTTGGCTTTTGAGTGTCTATTGTTTGGCTCAACTATTACCTTTTTACTTCAGGCAGCAGTGGTGTGTTCATTTGGTTTTTAATGTTTGCAAGCAATGTTCTACATGTAGTTGCTTCTCTGTCCTGAGAAAGGTCAGGCTTAGGAAAAACCCTGTGTCAATCCTTTAGGAAATAGGTAAAAAGAGACAAACACAATTCCTTGAGAACAAGATCTGTTCTGCTTCCTCTGGGACCAGGTGCTCATATGTGGAACTCAGGATGCCATCTTCAAGAATGCTGCCATGCTGGGGATGGGGATGGGACAAGGCTAACTTAAAATTTCACAAAGTTCTCCTATCATGTTTCAATGGACTTTATACTGGCTAAGCATTTGCTTGATTCTTATCAATCTTTCACTATTTTTCAGAGTTCTGATAAGGCTGATTCTGGCAGTTTTGCTAGTACTTTCAGTATTTCTGGGAGTTGGGCCGGGGGGGCTCTGGAAGTCCCTACTCTGCTGACATCCTCCTGACTTATTTATGACACAGCATAACTCTGTTACCAAACCCTGACAAGGTCATTACCAAAGAAAGGTATTACACACCAATATCTCCCAATCAGTGTAATTTTATCAAATTAACAGAATAAAAAAGAAAATGCATGGTCATCTCAATAGGTACACAAAAAAGACTTGATGAAATTCAACACTCATTATGATAAAGATTCTCAGCAAATGAGGGAACTTTCTTAACCTGATAAAGAGCATTTACAAAAAACCTACAGCTAAAATCATACTAAATGGTGGAAGACTGCTTTCCCTATGAGATCAGGATTTCCTTATGGAAGTTCACTTTTACCATTTTATTCTACATTGTAATAGAAGTCCTAGGCAGTATAATGAGATAAGTAAAAGAAATAAAAAGCATAAAGACTTGGGAAAAAAGTAGTTGTTATGGACTGAATTGTGCTCCCCCACCCGCCCAAATTCATGTGTTAAAGTCCTAACCTTCAGTACACCTCAGAATGTGCCTGTATTTGGAGAAAGGACCTTTAAAGAGGTAATTAAGGCTAAATGAGGTCATACAGGTGGCCTTTAATCCAATATGATCCTCTGTCCTTAAAAGAAGAGAGAGACAAGGGGGTGCCTGGGTGGCTCCATGGGTTCAGCAGTGGACTTTTGGTTTGGGTCAGGATCTCTTGGTCATGAGATCGAGCCCCTCATTGGACTCTGAGCTCAGTGCAGAGTCTGCTTCAGATTCTCTCTCCCTCTTCCCTCCAGCTCATGCTCTCTCTCTCAAATAAATAAATAAAATCTTAAAAAAAAAAAAGGGTGGGGGGAGAGAGACACACCAGGAATGTATGTTCATAGCAAAAAGGCCACATGAGGCTACAGAAGGCAGCCATGTGCAAACACAGGAGACAGGCCTCGGGAGGGAATGACTAGAAAGGAAGATGAGTGAGCTTTCATGAAGAATGGAAATGTACTATATCTTAATTGTATGAGTATATATAATTGTCAAAGTTTATCAAAATGTACCTTTGAGACCTATGCAGTTTTACTGTATGTAAATTAAATCTCAATCAGAATAAAAGAAAAATTTAAAAACCCTACAGTTTTCTTGATTCTCAAGGCAGTGCTGTTTTTTTTTTTTTTTTAAAGATTTTTATTTATTTGACAGAGAGAGCACAAGCAGAGGGAGAGAGAGGGAGAAGCAGGCTCCCCGCTGAGCAAGGAGCCCGGTGTGGGACTCGATCCCAGGACCCTGGGATCATGACCCGGGCCGAAGGCAGCCACTTAACCGACTGAGCCACCCAGGCGTCCCATGGCAGTGCTGTTTTTAAGACCGCATTCTACTGATATCTCTTTGACTCTGCCAATCAGTCACCGTAAGGACTTTGAAGGGACAAGCATATATACTTCTTTTTTTTTTTTTTTGAGTTTTAACGGTTATTTCAAGCATATATACTTCTTAATCACTGTAGGTACTGAGGTCAAAAGGTCTGATTAGATCTTTATGGCTTGGAAATGGGGCAAAGATATCTGTCTATCTATTGTGTTATACTAATTCATTCAATAAATATATGATGAGTACCTACTACATGTTAAGCAATGTTCTTATGGGGATGCAACAGTAAAATACAGAGTATTCATATTATAGTGGGAGAATATACAAAATATAAAAAATTAGTAAATTATATAGTATTTTGAGATACTTCTATTGTAGAGAATAGGAAATGTAGAGCTTCTGGTTTAAGTGACAATATTTCATAAACAGCAACCTCAACTCTTAATGTTGGTCTCTTGCATTTGAATTCCTTTTTAAAAGGGACTGAGTAGGACAATTTAATCTACGTGTCTGGGTTTATTCATAGCCCTATACTATCCTTGTCTTCTGTGTTCTGTTGATAAAGGCATCAATTTTTAATAAATCTTTTAGCTCAGACTTCTGGGAATCAGAAGTAATATCTTGTGATACCTTTTCTAATGATTAAACCTACAATAATGATGATGATGTTAATAATAAAAGAAACATAAATAAGTGTTCTTTAGAGGCAAAGCAGAAATGGCTTCTGAACTTTGGATACTCCAACTTGTTTATTTCTTTAATCGTGCCACCTATATTAATCCATCATGGACTACAAAGAACATTCACATCATTGCAAGCACAGGCTTATTTAGAGGAACAACTAGGAGCTTCAAGGATTATTTCTCTTTTCAGATGAGTCTATAAGAAACCTCTTCCAGTAAAAGAAAAATGTGTTTGGGAGCGCCTCAGGGGCCATCAACCAGTGATACCTGCTGTATATTATATAGCCTAAAAAAGCCCAAAGACAAAATGGAGGGCATGGTCAATACCACCAGTTAAATACAAATTACTTTAGGTTCAGCCTCTCCTGAAGTTTTAAGAAGACTCAGAGATCCATGGAGAAGGAACAAACAGGCATAGCTCTAAATGTAGCAGGGGGCTTTGGGATGGCTTTCAAGCCTCACTTAGAAATGGGCAATGCCAAGCCCTGAGTTCTAACATTTCGATTCTGGAACATGTCTGTTCAGTGGCCTCATGGCCTCTGCTAGCCTGTCAGCATCACAGAAGAAAAATGCCCTCAGCTTCCAGGGCTCTTATGAAAGGGAATCAGTGATTGATAAGAAAAGGGTGGTTCGAGGCAAGCTGGGAGAGAAAACAAAACAAAACAAAAAAAACACTGCTGAGTAGGGAGGAAAAAAGAGGAATGAACAGTGTGTGTTTCCAGATTTGTGCCTTTGGCTTAAAAGTTCTTGACTCAAGTTTAGATTTTCCTAAGTAATGTCTCCTTGTTCCACATAGCTCAATAAAGTCAACTAAAATAGAATATTCCAAGCATTGATGACTGAAAAACAATTTATATTTTAAGTATAATTCTGACAATACTGTACATGTTGTTGTGATCCCAAGGTTGTTTCTTGAGACAAGAGTCAGGTCTTTCTTTATATAATTAGTATTAATAAAGTTGATAGAATGGTGAGGAGGACAGAAAAGGTAGAGGAATGAGAGACTGATAATAAAGATTAATGGTCCTGCAGTAAACATCCTATGTGGTACTTAATGATTAAAGACAACAAAAGAAACAAAGAAGAAAAGTATGTTAAAAAAATTTAGACACACTAAAGAAGGGAACACAATTAAGGAGACACTAAACCAAGCAGTGTGACTGAGGCAATTAGTGCTAGGCCACTGGCCTTATGATAAACAGAGTGTCCAAACCCCTCGCAGCCACTTGTAAAGCCCATCTCCCATCTGTCTGGGCATCACCGTAAATGCCCATGCAGCAACTGCTCTGTTCTGTAATCCGTGCATAGCAGCTCTGCAATGAGTAGAATGACTCAGAGGGGCAACTTCAGCTCCTCAATGATCAGTTAGACTGTAATTTGGCCATGGCTCCATATCAGAATAAAAGAAGAAAAAATATATGACAATCCTTTTTTTTTTTTTTAGAGAGGGACAGAGGGAGTGCAAGTGCGTGAATGGGGCTGGGAGGGGCAGAGTTCGGACAGACAGAGAAAGAATCTTAAGCAGGCTCCATGCTCAGCGCAGAGCTTGACGCAGGGCTCGATCTCATGATCCTGAGGATCATGACCTGAGCTGACATCAAGAGTTGGACACTTAACCGACTGAGCCACCCAGGCACCCCTTACATGACAATCTTTCTTATAAGTAGAAAAAGAAAAGTTAATTCCTGTGACACCTTAAAACAAAACTCTCTTAAAAAAATGAAAAAGTTTCTATTTTTTTTCTACTGCAACACTACAACCTTTCCCCACCAAAAAACAAAAAACAAAAAAGGAAAAAAGCTAATGAAAAAAATAAAATTGTGAGTGAAAACTGTTCCTGAAAACTTTGCAGAATTGTAATAGCTTTGTCTTGGTTAAATTGATTGGTATAGCAACATTATAAAATGACTAGTGGGATTCACTGTGCACAACAGAAAGTGCTGAAATGTCAGCAGACTATACAGCAAAAAGTAATGGGTTCTGAACCCCTGTTAGTCAAAAATGATTTTGTTTCAAATTAGAAATTGATTTTTTTTGGACACAAGCCCTTTCCAGGCTTATAGCTTCCGTACCTGGGCCCGGGAGAGATTAACCTCCACCACTGTAAGGGCTGGCCTGATGCGACCTTTCTCAAAGTGCCTTTTCAACTGCAGCCTTCTAATGTGGCGGTGGTCTTAACCAATAACACAAGTTATTTGTCCCTTTGCTGTTACACTCTATTTTTCTCATTTTGCCATTTTACTTTAGTGCTGGCACACAACACAAATTTGTTGACAAGTTAAAAGAAAACTATGTTAAGGCTTGCAGTGTAACCAGCACACACACACCAGTTTTGACTGGTTCTCTATTCTCCAAAGTGCAATGACTAAGATGAGAACACGAGTTTCCCATCTCTCAAGGACTAACAGAGAAAGTAAATAAGATTCTGTCTCAGAGATGAAGTCTCCTCAATCTCATTTTTGTATCTGGTAGCAAAGTCTACAAAGACAAAAGTTGTTCTAAGTTGTCCTGATGCAATGGAGGTCTGCAGAACTTCTGCCTTATGTCAAATAAAATATGCTTGCTTTTCAAGATGTGGATAGTTTCTCTTCTGAATCTTGGACTAATTATCATCTCTTAATTATTTGGAAGAAGATTAAACAATTTCTAGATTAATCATAGTTAAAATCAAAAATCAAGTCAAAGGCGGCAGGTGATGAGAGTGTGGTATACAAGATCTTCTAATAAAGCACTGCCCATTTTTCAAACAAATAAACGTAAGAGTGGCTAGAGAGATTACGAAAAGTTGGTTGCTTAATACCAGAGGTGGGCAGGTGCCAGGCCAGTAAAAAAGGAGGTAAATATGTGGATGGAACTAGAGCGTATTATGTGAAGTGAAATAAGTCAGTCAGAGAAAAACAAATACCATATGATCTCACTCGTGTGGAATTTAAGAAAGAAAACAGACGAACATATGAGAGGGGGAGGAAGGAGAGAGGTAAACAAGCTATAAGTGACTCTTAAGGAGAGAGAACAGGGGCGCCTGGGTGGCTCAGTCGTTAAGCGTCTGCCTTCGGGTCAGGTCATGATCCCAGGGTCCTGAGATCGAGCCCCGCATCGAGCCCCGCATCGGGCTCCCTGCTCCGTGGGAAGCCTGCTTCTCCCTCTCCCACTCCTCCTGCTTGTGTTCCCTCCCTCGCTGTGTCTCTCTCTGTCAAATAAATAAATAAAACCTTAAAAAAAAAGGAAAGGAGAGAGAACAAATGGGATTGATGGAGGGAAGGGGGTGGGGGATGGACTAGATCAGTGATGGGTATTAAGGAGGGCACTTGTTGTGATGAGCACTGGGTGTTGTATGGAAGTGATGAATCACTGAATTCTACTCCAGAAACCAACCCCACTGCACTGTATTTAACTACCTAAAATTTAAATTAAAAAAAAAAAAAAAGAAGGAAGTCAGAGTTAATGGTTGTAAGCAGGTAAGAGATATCTGGGGAAGAGGTGTGTGCAGAGGGGGCTCCAGGACTTTTTGTGGCCCTTTCTTGCCTGTACCTCTCTTTGTACAAGGAAGCTCAGACCTGCTACATTCTGCTGTGAAGTCCTTCCCTTGGTAATTTTTAGGAGAGGTGAAGCCATAAGCCACTCCAGAAACAATCAGGAAACACAATTAAATTTT